TGTGATAAAATAAAGACTCCATTGTGAAACACCTAGACTGAAAGGCACACCAGCTAGACTGAGCCAATGCCCAGCCCCTTTGGCAGCAGGTGCTGGTAGTCCTGTCACTAGGGACTTGGAAAAAAAAAGGAGCAGCTGGTGGTTTCTATGGAGACAATTTCAACTTTGAACAGTAGGCTGGAGTATTTTGAATGACCTAAATTAGCAAGCAACAGGCAAGTGTCCAGTGGTTCTAGCTGGCTCAGTAAGCCATCCTGCTCCTGTCTGCTTCCTGGGGTTGAATTCAAGGTGAGTCGGGGCTGTCATGGACAAGTAGAAAAGCTCTGCTTTCTGATTTCAGCAGCAGGGCGCCTGGGAAAGCTGCTTTCATCTTGCTGTGTGTGTTCTCTCACCTCAGTGGGTAGCACAGTTCTCCAAAGAGCCAACAATTACCATGCCAGGCGGTTTATTTCTCAAATGCAGATTTACGTCAGATGCACCAACCTAACCAAAAGATTGCTTAGAGACTATTTGGGAGACAAAATGCACACTTGACTGCAAAAGTCAGGGTCCAGCTAATGTGAGCTAACAGAGATTGTTTCTTGACACAAGGAATTTTTCTCTGGGATTTATTGCTTGGGAGGAGGGAGTGCTGTGATGGAGAAAGAAAAACAACAATGTCCCAAGGGAACAGAATTTTTGTTTCTTGATTAGTAACAGTAATTTGAACTTCTACAGATGACCTTTTGCTCTCTTTTATTCTTTGTGTCCTGCCTTCTGATGTGTTGATGTCCTGCCAGTTCCTGACCACCCTTCCTCTAACAGGTCAGGGTCTCCCAGTGGTGCAGGCTTGATCTCCGCCTTCACCCTGGGAGTCTGGAGGTCTGACACCTGCTCAACAATGTGGCTTTCAGCTTTCAGACCCTATCAGGTTGCTTCCATTTTGCCAAAGGTTCCCTGTCCAACTGCCATGAGACGACACTTGTGTGAGTTCTTATTTCTTTCTCCCTGGCTGCTTTGTGTCTTTGGTTTCAGTAACAGTTTGCAGTGTGCAGAGTCCTGCCTTCTGCTGCAAAGAAGTGGGGAAGCCTGGGGATTTTATTGCATTGGCTTTTGAGGAGTCTCCCATCTTCAGAAATAGCCTAGACAAATTCAGCTGGGCTTCTCTTCTATCTTCACACTCTCTCTGAGATATGTCACTCAGTTTTTTTCCTTGTTCATCTGTTATTTATTCTTTCACTTAATTCCTCAAACATTTACCGAGCAATGACTATGTGCCAGGCATTACTCCAGGAACTGAGGAATAGGGTGTTGAACAAGGTAAACTGTTCCCATCAGAGCAGTGCTGTCCAATAGAATATTCTGTGATGATGGGAGTGTTTGATATCCAGATGGTCCGCTACAGTAGCCACCAGTTGCACGTGGCTAATGAGCAATTAAAATGTGGTTCATGTGACTGAGGAGCTAAATTTTAAATTTTTTGTATTTTTAATGAATTGAAATTTAATTAGCTGCACATACAAAGAGACAGACAGATAAGGAAGCAGATTTTTACAATACCATATGCTAAGTTTGTCATGAGATGGTTGGTTAGCCTAGTAAATAGATTGGGGTGAAAGGCTTTGATTGAATTAAATGATCAAGGGTGTCAAACACAAAGGGAAGTCCATGTCCAAGACTGACAGACTCAGCGGGAAAAGAAATAATGAGCCCCTTTAAATTCAGACAGTTTATTGCTTATGTAGATAGTGAAGGCAAAGGAAGCCAAGGGTGCAGGAGTCTGGGTCCTTGTCTCACACACCAAAATGATGGCACTGAAACAAAAAGAACCAGGAATCTTCAGCACAGTTGTGAGATACCCTGTGGCTGAGAAGCTGATCCCAGACTGCAGCCCAGGGGTCCCAGAGCCTGCAGCTCTGCCCTGAAGGGGTGCAGGGATGAGAAGAAAAGTCCTATGCCTCTCCAGAACCAGGGAAGTGGGTGGGAAAACTGCCTCATGGTGGGTCCCACCAGACTGGGAGAGACACATGGGAAAACAGTCTCACGAAGCCTCTTTTGAAGACAACTTATCTTGTCATGTTTCCGGGAGGATCACAAGGCATTCCACCCAGATTTAGGTCATATGGTGGTTCAAGTTTTGTCTGTGGAAACACGGAAGTTCTCCAGGGTGCTATGATAGAGCCATTCCTCTGCAAAGGATCTTAAATGCTTGGCCAAAGCATTCAGACTTTACCTTCAAATGAAGCTGGCAGCCATTATAAATTTAAAGCAGTAGAGAAATTTGATTATTTTTGAGCTTTATAAAGTTCTGTCTGACAACACTGTAGAGATTAGACTGGAGCAGAAAACCCTATAAAGAGAGAGAAAGTATTGGGTAAAATGGGTAAGAGTTCATAGGAATGGAGAGAGAGTCCACAATCATTTAATGAATACATGGGATGTGAAGGGCTCATGTACAGTGAAAACGACAGACACATCAGGCAGGATCCTGCCCTCAAGAAATTTACAGATTAACAGGGCAAAGGAAACACAGCACACGTGACTCTAATGTTCAAGAAACATGTGAAGTGCTCTGAGTGGCATGGTGGAGAGCCCGGTGAAGGAAGAGCTCCCTTCAGCTGGGTGTCCCTGTACACAGTAGGTGCTTTATTGATGATGATGACAATACAGTGTTAGACAGTATTAGTTTTAAGTCTTCTTACAACGTATTCTGAAAACGTGAGGGACTGGCTCTGGCAGGCAATAAATTGCGCCTTATCAACTAACAAATTAACCCCTATCGCAATATGTGGATAAATTGGAATCCAATTGAGAATAAGACAATAGAGATGGAATACAGGGAAAGCAGGAAAAAAACTGTAAAGGTTAAGCATGGTGAGAGGTGGCGAGGAGAAGGCTGGAGGGCTTTGGGTACCGGGGGCAGGGTTAACTTGCCTTTACCACTGGAAATATTCACTGATGACTCCACACCTCCCAGTTCCCATCCCCACATTTTGGTATTTGCATTTTGCCTGTGGTCCTTCCTCCTCCAGAGGGTGGTCAGTTGATACTTATTGCCTCGGGAAAGGATGGCACACTAGAAAGAGAAAAACGAAGACCTTTTCCTGGCCTTTGAGTTGCAAAAAGCCCAATGGATGATGTGAATTTCAGAAGTCACAAGTCGCTGTGTTTTGTTTGGCCCACACCTTGGGGTTTGTTTGTTTGTATTGTTGTTGGGTGGTTTTATGTGTATGTATTTTTAAAAACAGAATACATTTGAACGCCTTCAGATGGGCAGGTAGTATCAGGCTCACGACAGTCTTAGACCTCGTTCATCTCTGGCCTTTATCTACAAATCTGTATTACCTTCCTGGCCTCTGTAGGTATCTGAATTGGGAACCCCTGGCATCCGTTGTATAACAGGTTTAGAAGAATGTATAATAACGTGTGAGCAGAGCCTCCCCACTCCCAGTCTTTGAGCACTGCCATAGTCACAGGGAACTTTCTTGAGCTCCCAGAAAAACAGGGTGCTCTGAATTCTGTGATCACATCTCTGCCACCTGGAGGAAAAAGGACTCCAAAGAGAAATTACCCTGAATCTAGAAAAATAAAAAATAAAAGACATGTCGTGCACATGTGGGCTTGTGGACTAAAATTTCATCCTCCTGTTTCATCGCTAGTCCTGCCACAGTGTACACCAGGGTATATATTTGAAAATTTCAGAGTTAGGGACAGGGAAAGGGCAAGATGAAGTTAAAGTCAAGAAAGAAGTAGGATAGAAAAGCAGGAGGGAGAAGCTAGGAAAAGAATGAGCTTTCATATTGCTACCCTCATTTGGGGGAAATAAGTAAGGTTTATACATAGGGTCAGATGGCACTGGTTAAAATTCTCGCTTCATCATAACAACCAGGCAAGCTTGGATGAGCCATTTAACTGGCTGAGCTAAATTTCTTAATTTATAATGTAAGGATAATAATAGTTTTTTATTCCCACAGGTCTGTTGCAAGGGTCATGAGAAATAATGACCATCAAAGGGTCTTGAAAAGTGCAAAGGCTTTCCTGTGGGAATTCATATTACCCAGTGACTAGTGTTTAGTAAGTGCTTGATAATTGTTTGTTACTAGAGGAAAAAAAAAAGGGAATTGAAGGGAGAATTGAATTCCAAGGCCATTTAAAATAACCAGTCCCTTTACTTGTCAAATAATTGTGACATTTGATTTGTCTTGTCAATTTTCCTGGAGCCATTGCTTCATTTTTCAGTTGTTCATTAAAGACCATGCACGTGGAACAGCGCTTGTCTTACCAGCTAACGTAAATCCCAGTGATAAGGGGCTTCACTGTCAAGACAGAAATTTTTGGCGTGTGGCCTCTTGATGGCAATTCTCTGTCACTGATCTTCCGAGTCTTGTCCCTCATCCTTCAATTCTCTTCCTCCATTTAAAATTTATCTTCAAGTTTATCCCTCCATCAGACATAATTGTAAAATGTAAATTCTTACTGAAGGATAAAAGAGTGGCATAATAAATAACAAAATGAGAAAAATTCTCTAAAAAAAACCCCACTTATTAAAATGCTCTTCTTATAGCATCCATACTTCACAATATTCATAAATAATAGCAAAGTGTCAGGGTGCAGCTGACTGCAGTGTGTAAAAATTTATTAGAATGTAAATTTCCCTCTATATTATATAGAGTTTGTTCACTCCTTTAACTCATTCTATGGAGCATAAGGGGAGGTGGGAGTAGGTAATGCAGGAAGGAGAGGCAAACATTATCGGTCTATTGTTTTCCTCTCCTTGCAATATAAATGTCACTAACCATCAACAGCCTCCCCTACTTGCATCCAAAACTGAGAATAGACCCAACCACCTGAACGTGGTCCTTTCACATACTGCCCTATGGGGATGAACACCTTGTAAAGGAATCACTGATAGAACTGCTCAGTTACCCTCCAGCAATGTGTGCACTAGCATCACATGACACTTGAAGTTCAAAAATTCTTCCTTTTTTTCCCAATTAAAAGCTCTTGTGGAAACTGTAGGGCATTTGGCAGAACCTCGGAGTTCCTCAGAACCCGAGCTGAGAATCCCTGGTGTATAGGCACAAAGTCTTTGGGTTTGTGTGTGTTTGTGTCAGCACACAAGTGAGTCTGTATGTGTGTATGTATTTTAATCCTGGACTTTTCCTGTTTCTTGACTCTATCAGGGAGTATTATATATGGAACAGATGACACATGGGGTTGTTAAGTCTGAAATCTGTTAGACTTACAGCCGATTTCTGAGAAAGCTATCTGTCCGACTTTGCCTTGGATGCCTACCAAATCCTCATGAGGGCACACCTGCCTTGTCAAACTGTGAAAGATGACTTTTTTTTTCAGCCCATATTCCAATGGCAACAACTGTAAGGTTACTGATCATATGGCCACTTCCTAGTATTTGTTTGATCGGGAAACCTGAGACATCATTCACAAGTACACACCATTGACTTATCAAGTGACCTCTCGCTCACTGTTTGTTTGTTTGTTTGTGTTTGTTTGTTTATGTCAAACCCATCTCATCCTCTAGGGAAAACTCCTGCTTCTTACAGGAAGTTTCATTATAACACAATCTCTTGCGTATACCTTGGTGTAAATGGCAAAAATTTAGACATGGGATACTAACGACCGTTACAGGGAATTTCTGACAAGTCAGAATCCATGAATTTACACATTTAACCAGAGGTCTGGAAAGATTAGGAGACAAAACAGCAAGCACAGTCAGCTAAGTGCTGAGACCCCAAAACAAAATTCTCTCTGAAGTCTTCTGAAACCTATCTTCTTGCATCTCTTTCTCCGATGCTCATCTGCATAACCCCAGCCCTTCTCAATGAGCAACTCGTCCTTTCCTCAGGGGTTTCTCAGGATAGGAACAATCACATTTCTCTCTGCTCTGTTCTGTCCCTCTTTCCTCGAACTCCCACACTCTATCCCAAAGCTGACTTTCTGTGATTACCTGGATATAGTTTCTGAATTTTATGGATTGATGCCACCATCTTCCACCAAAAACTCTTCAAGTATTGAGGAAAAACATTCACAATCATTTTATTCAAAACTATTCTGTTGATCTGAGTTCGGGTTTACATCAAATGGTCAGTAATGCTGGTTGTTGTTGGGGGATCAGGTTGGAGGGAGTGTGTTCTTTGTGGAAAATCACTTTCTTAAACGAAGCACAAAATGCATTTTCCCTTGACCCACTCTGTCCTCCAATGACTCCAATGACTTTTTCTATGAGAATAATTAGAACAGCAGAACAGACAGGTTGGCTTTTTTCTTTGGCTATCACTCATTCAGGGCCAAACTTACAGCCCACAAAATGCTCTGCTTTTCATGCTCCAGGTTTTCTTTGACCAGTGTCTCTAATTCTAGTTCATATTTTCCCAGATCCTATTTTAATTTTATTTTATTCTGTCTCCATTACCCATATACCTTTGTGGAATGAGGTATAAAAGAAAGGAGAGAAAGGAAAGGAAGAAGGAAGGAAGGAAGGCAGGAGGGAGAGGATACCCCAAATTTTGCTCATAAAGGAGCAGATTATGAAATAGCTGATCAAAGGTATATTACACTCTATTAACAACAAGCTATAGTTGACATTTATCACTCTATTGGAAAGCCACAAAAGTAGATCATGAAGTTTTATTTTCCCTTAAAGGAAACAAATAATGGGAACTCTGAAAAGAGCTGGTGATAGGTCTTACAATGGCAGGGAGGGATTGGAAACGAACGAAAGAAAGAAACAAAGAAAGAAAGGCTATATTTCTTGTTTATGTAGATACAGGAGTTGAAAAGCAGCACTGATCCTTCCTATAAAGCCTTCACGCATTACCCCTTCAAATCCTAGCCAACACCTGTGAAATAGGTCACCTGGGAATTATCTCAGCAGAAGAACTGAAGCGCAACTTACCTAAAACCACAAAACTAAGATTTCCTACAGTGTTGTAATAAGGCAGTGGGCTGCAGTGTCAGAGCTAGCTTGGCTTTCCGGTTCTCCTGTGAATTATTTACACTGCTTGGAGCCTGCCACTTAGCCTACATCCTCAAGTGTGAAATGAGAATGTGAGTCCTTTCTGCTCGCCTTGTTTTCCCTCCTCCAAATGTTCTGTGTATTTCACAACGTGCCCCCAGAAGTCTACCTTGGCCAGACCTAATACAAGCCTTGTTGGGGCCTCTCCCTGAAAATTTAAGTTCCTATTCAGAGTCTTCTCTCCCCTGCAGGGCAAGGAATACCAGCAGGTTCCTTTGCCGGTTGACAATGTCCCAACTGACAGCCACCCCAGCAAGTGCCCTTGCAGACGAGCCTGTGCACATCCGAGCGACGGGCCTGCCTCCCTTGCAGATGGTGACCCTTGTGGCATCTCTGAAGGATGAGAAGGGGACTCTGTTCCAGTCCAGAGCTTTCTACAGGGCCAACGAGGCTGGTGAGCTGGACCTGAAGCAGGCGCCTGCCTTGGGAGGTGACTACGTGGGGGTCCATCCGATGGGCCCCTTCTGGTCTCTGAAGCCTGATAAGGGTTTTAGGAGGCTGCTCAAGCGCGATGTGATGAACAGCCCCTTTTGGGTCACTCTGCAGCTATATGACTCACTTTATCTCCAAGATTCAGCCCCGGGCGAGCCCAGGGCCAGCCAAGTGGTGCAGCGCTGGTTCTCCAGTCCTGGGGTCCAGCGGGTGAAGATCCACGAAGGCCGCTTGCGAGGAGCCCTTTTCCTCCCTCCAGGTGAGAATCATCTCTGGTGACAGAGAAAAAACATGGCTGTTGGTGGAAATGAAAACAAAAACCGAAGGCATCCGATTACTGGAGAACCAGTATTTCCTACAGTGTTTTAGAAGCCCCCTGCCACATCCTTGTGGGTGTGAAAGTGGAATTCTTTCTGCTCCACCCGTCCTTCAGCGGCTACCTCCCTGGCCCTCTTGTTACTGTTCCTGATTCCATGCTCTTCTTTTTGTTGCTCTTAGGGGAAGGCCCTTTCCTGGGACTCATTGACTTGTTTGGGGGCACCGGCGGCTTAGTGGATTTTCGGGCCAGTCTTTTGGCTTCCCGTGGCTTTGCAGTGCTGGCATTAGCATATTTTGCCTATGAAGACCTGCCTCAAAAGCTGCAGGAAGTGGACCTGGAATACTTTGAGGAAGGTGCCAACTTGCTACTAGCTCATCCCAAGGTATTTAAAATGCTTTTCATTTTACCTGGTAACATGATAGCAAAAAAAAAAAAAAAAAAATCACAAATGTCTGTTCTGCCTACTTTATCAGTGTGTTTAGACTTGGGTATAACACAGTTGACAGTTAAAATGGGGATAATAATCTACCTTATAGGATCGTTAAATTGATTAGGATCAGTTTAATGCTTACTGGCACAAAGAGGACAACAAATGGTGAATATATTATCATTCTTTTCATTTTCTAGTTCCAAAATGTTCAACAATCAGGTTATTTCTTACAGTTCAAGCTAACATGGCAAAACAATCATATCACCTAACATTTCTTAAGTGACTATTTGTTTGACTCTATGCTAAATACTTTATATGCACCATCTCATTTAATGCTCACAATTACCTTGTGAAGTTAGTGCTTTTGACAATGTCCTCAGTTTTCAGATGAGAAGGCATACTCACTTCAGTTAAGTAAGGTGTCGAAGCTACATGGCCAGAAAGTGACAGAGCCCTTCTGTCACTTTGTTCTGTCTTTGTTCCAAACCATTAAGTCATCCTGACTCCCCAGTTTGTATCATAATCTCCTGGGAGAGCCTTGACTCCTCGTAAGAAGAGAGGATATGTTTCCAGTTGGAGCATCACTGGTGTCCTCACCTTGAGTGTTATCATCATCATTATCAAATACATGTGTGATTTTTCTAAGCATATTTGCGTCTTTTTAAAGGTTGCCTAGAAGGAATTCAATCCCAGATAAAACGTTTTCAAGTCAATTTTTAAAATTTCAAATGTAACTATTTGTGACATTGTCTGAGAAAAAAGGTCAACTGCCAAAATTAAATTTGTGTTTAGATTCAGCAGAAGAGATTCAATTCCCACCTCTGCCCCATAATAGATACTGTCGTAGCCTTCACTGAAACTTAAACTTCCTAAATCTCCATTTTCTTGTTGGAAGGACTGAGATAATGTATGTAAAGCACTTAGCAGAGGGCCTAGCTTATAGTAAGCTCATTAAATCCACCTTGTCACCTTCATCCATCTGGTTCTTCTCCCTTCTTTTCTCCACACCCTCAACCCATCCCAAAGTGTTTTAGGTTCTACTTCTGAGTCTTTCTTGATATAGCACAACTTCTTCATCCTCCCTGCCACTGTTGTAGTTCATTCCCTCATGATTGCTCACCTGTGATACTGCAGTCGTGCATTCATCGAGTTCCTGTCTCCAGTCAGCCCTCCTCCTTAACTTCCTGATCCATTCCTCAGGAGATGGTTCCCAAACAGGGATGCACATTGGAGTTCCTTGGGGATACCTTATAAGTATCAGATTCTTGGCCCCCCTCAGACCTATTGAAGTAGATCTCAAAAAGTTGGGTCTCAGAATGCTCTGATTTTAAAACGTTTTTTTTTCAATAATTTTGATGACAGAAAGGTGCTGAGAATACAATTGTGAGTGAAGTCAACATACAAAGTCGCTACAAGGATGCTGCTCTACCCCAGGACGGGCCACCTCTTACAGCCGCCCTAGGGGCCCTTGTGCTCTACGTCCGTGCACCCGGACATATTTGCTCATTTTGCCCAGAATGCCCTTCCTTTCCTCATTCATCTCTGACTTCCTCCCTTCCCTCTGCTCCCTCAGCCAACCACAAAGGGAAGGACTCCCTCCTGGGACCTAGTACTTTTCCTACTGGCTTGGGTACTGAAATTCAGTTGTTCAAAGAATCCAAGTCTTTCATCTTTACCCTCCCAATGCTTGCTGGAGTAGCCCTTAGATTAATGAATATGCAAATCCTTTGTAGCTATAAAATGCTATTTAAATATGAATTACATTTACCTAATATTTGAAAGAAACCAGGAGACCTCTTTTCCTAGCTGGAGAGAAGAATTTGATTCTTCAGAAATCTTACCTGCCTCTGCTCTTGTGGTGTTGAGTGTTGCTGGCGCATTAGACCCTTTTTGCCTTTATAGAACTTCACTTTTGATGAGGAGTTTTTCTTTCTTTTCTTTTACTCATCTTCCTAACAGTCCTGCCAGGTAGAGAACATGATCACCCTCACAGGGCAATAAAGCTTAGCCAGGGTAAGTAGGTAGTGTTCTCTCTCAATCACAGAAGCTGGGAATCCCTAGTGCAAGGACTCCCAACCCACATTTTCTGACTTTTCCCATCACTAGCTTACTGGCTGATAGGACAGCTCTTTCTCGGAGTATGCCTGTAATGAGTTCCCTTTTGTCCTTCAGGTTCAAGGTCCCGGAATCGGAGTGGTCTCTATGAGCAAAGGTGCAGAGATTGGGCTGGCCATGGCCTGCTTCCTGAAGCAGGTGGTGGCCACTGTCTGCATCAACGGGTCCAATGCCGTCTTTGAATGTCCGCTCAGGTACCAGGATCTGGTTATAGCATCCATCCCCTCATTTCCAGAGCGCATGGATGTCCACCCCATGGGGGCTGCACGCCTCCGCCACTACAGGGGGGACCCCCGGGATGAACTGAATCAGCAGAGTGTGCTTCCTATTGAAAAGGCCCAGGGTCAGATCCTCTTCATTATAGGGGAGGATGATGAATGCTATAATAGCAAAAAATACGCTGAGCAGGCCCTTGACCAGCTGCGGAACCACGGGAAAAGCAATGGAAGGATGCTGCTCTACCCCAAGACGGGCCACCTCTTAGAGCCGCCCTATGGGCCCCTGTGCTCTGCGTCTGTGCACCCAAGCTATGGCCTCTTCCGCCCCATCCTCTGGGGCGGGGAGCCTGCTGCTCATGCAGCAGCCCAGGTACACGCCTGGGGAGAGATCCAGAAGTTCCTCAGGCAACACCTCATTCAGAGCAGAAGCAAATTCTGAATAAGAGTGATGATGAGGCGGGGAGACAAAAAAAGTGGTTATAAAGCAGGGGTGTGGGTAGGTGAGGGTCTCCTGATTTTTCTAGATTCACAGTCACCTTGAATTAACTGGAAGGTTCAGATGCACCCATCTGAAATATTTCTGACAAAATTGTGTGTGCTTTAAATTTTTGTAAATTGAATCTTAGTTTATATGCACCAGGGTAGTTGCTACTTCAAAACTGTGATACCTTTGCAAATTGAATAACCTTTTGTACCCCATTTAGGGAAATCTTGGATCAAGGTATTGCCAATCTAGATAAATTTCCTGGAACTTCCAAGTTATAAAATCACTTTCTGTTTAAACTATTTTGAGTTGAATTTATGACATTTGATATGAAAAGTTGTAATACATCACCAAGTGTAGTGCTTGCCATAGGTTTCCAGTAGATACTTTAAATTTTTTTAGACTAGTGATTTCTCTTTTTATTCCTAAACATATATTTCTTTCTATAATTTTAATCAGGAGTTACAGCAAATGCTCAAGTGCCTTTGTAGCACTGATTGAAATTAAATGAGTTACATTTAAAGCCGTCAGTACAGTGCCTGGCATGTAGGATTTCTATGTCAGAACTAGCCATTATGGTTCTTACAATGCTTTTATCTTCCAGTTTGTTAATGTGGTGAATTGTATTCATTCATGGACTAATTCTGCTTATTCATCTAATTCTAATAGGTCATTTTCTCATATTGACTAACTTGGGTTTTAAAATTTCTTTTGGAGCCAGCTGGGTCTTATATTTTGTCAGGGTTTCACCCCTATCTTCTGGAACACATTTTCCTCTTATAATTTTTCACATGTCCCCTGTTGTTTATTTGCATGCTTTCTCTTTTTCCTCTCAGTCTGACTTGCCAAATATTTGCCTATCTTATTGATCTTTTAGTAGAACAGCTATTGCGTTGTTTGTTGGTCAAATCTAATTTTTGCTGATTCATCAATTTCTGTTTCTTTGAAATAAGTTTGTTCCTTCTGCCGTATTAGTGTTTTTCTGGCTTCTTGATATGCAGTGTTCTCATTTTGTTAAAGTCTAATAGTTTCTGCTTTACTTGCCCCCCACCCTTTGAAACCCAAGAGTAATTCCACCAAAGTACAAAGTATCATCCTGTACATAACTTGCTGCTTATAAGGAACCTCACTTCTCAGTGCGAAGTTCAGATTGTCACCACCCGCACGCACTGACCAAACTCAGCATCTCTAAAAATGGTCAACTTGACATAGCACGTTTCATGATGAGATGTAATGTGGATTGCCCAGCACTACTCAGAACTAAATTCTAACAACAATGTTAAATGTGAAGCTAATCAAGCCCTTTGATCAAACTTCTTATTAATGTGGTGGCTAGA